AATAAATATCCTCCCCATAATATCTTGCTCTATTTTTTTCTAAACTTGATGCCTTGAGGAGGTCTCGAAGCTTGTGATAAAATGCTATCAGCATTTACCTATTTTGTCACCAGCCTGAATTTCCTTTTCTCCCTGGGCAAAGTCATTTAAAGATATGATATTTGCAAGCAAAAGCTCTTAAAAGTATAACCCTTGATTTCATGAATGCCTCACGGATATATGATGTCCTACTGTACTTGATCACTGAAGCAAAACTAAATCTGCTCGTATAAACTAGTGGCACTATTTTATATTGAAGTGTTTGCTCTTTCACCAAGGAAAAACCTTGTAATCAGATGTGAAGGTTATAAAAGATGCAGTCTGCAACTCAAAGGTGTCTTATTATCACCAATCAAGGTAATAATTAAAACCAGATTCCTGTAAGAAGAGGGTATGCATTTAGAGGGCTTCACAAAGTGCTGAACTTCATGCACATAATAAACAGTGCAAAATACTTCTACTTTATTAAGAAGATGCTGAAAGTGATGAAACTAAGGTGTAATCTTGTATATACAAGGATCTTACTTTGTTATGCTGTTTCCATGCAACAGAAAAAAACTTACTTGTCTACTCTCATATATACTAAGGAGGGGGGAGTGTGTTTGTTTATTTGTTTTTATTTTTTCCCACGCAGAGTTGTTCACAAATGTTCATTTAGGAGCAAAAATTTGAGATGAAGGCAACATCCTTTATATGTTCAAGGTTCCAGTTCACTAAAATCTCTTCAGTGAACTGCAGTAACATTTCACATTTAAGAAATGTGAAATTTAAGACACTACAGTTTTCCCTTAACCCATTCTTGCTGGTTTTTATTTATTCATAAGTATAAGTGAATTCAGTAGATTATCAAGTAAAACATGCACATCACAAATATCCTCTCACATAAAAAGACAATATCAATCTTCATAGATACCACCAAGTACTCACAAGAACAAATTTAATCAAACCATGCCTACACACCTAAATATGTCTTTCCCTCTACTCTGTGCACCTTGTGTGCCGTAAGGCATAAATGCTAGTGGTCTATTGACAATTGATCCTTTTTAGACAGAGAAAGCAAAAAACTATTTATTCATAAGACCAACAATACACTCCCTGCTTCACATACATACCCAGTCCAACTTAAATTGTGAACAGATGGGAAGCAAGACATTCCCTCATATTTCAGATTCACCATATTCTTCAGTATTTTTCTAAATTAATAAAAATATACTTTTCATAAATTAAATTTTGTATAATTATAAACTATTTTCAGATGGATAATGCAATGACTGTTCTTCAGCTTACTGACTTGATTCCCTTTGCCACCTCATTTATTGTGGCATTATTCTTACTTGACAGCAATTCACTACTGCCATCATTTGTAGGCAGTTAGTTTTCTCTTCTGAAATCTATTTCATTAATTTTACTTCCAGTGTTTATAAAGGTTATTTCATACCTGTGTATTTATTTGCTAGACATGACTCCCCCTTTCCTCCTACAAATGTGGTATTTTTTACTTCTCATGAGCTTTACAGATGTTGCTGGAAAGTTGTCTAATCTGCAAGGTTAATACGAGATATGCTGTATGAAACAGATTCTTACACTTGTACACATAAATAACTGATTTCATTTTAAACAAAACATGAAAATGAATTTCAGGATCACAGCACTGGAGGGAACCTCCAGCATCTTACAGCCACAGCACTTCCACTGTTCTTTTTCCTCTTCTTTATCCTCTTCTCTAGGGCCATCTTCATTTACCCCTATCATTTCTAACTCCTTATTCTTCTTCACAAATTTACTCTTGTGCCTTTTTTGATGGCCACCGACCCTCCCCTGCCCCTTTCTGCTTCACCTTCTTCCCAGCATCTCTTGTTTGGTGCCTCTGGCATGCGTTGCCATCCCATCCCCACCCTAGAGAGTGCACTCCAATTTCCAAGTGCCATAACTAATGAATGCAATTAGAGATAACACGATGACACACATGCAGACTTCAGCAGAGCCATACATTTAGACACAGCCACAACACTCAGCCTGTGCCACTGCTGATTCAGGTGTTGAGCTGAACTGCAGCCTGAGCTCCTCTAGGGTCTGCTGTTTTCTCCCTGCTTTTTCCTCTCTGTCCCCCTCATAGCTCAGCCTCTCTTTGTATGACTAGGTGCAAAGTCCTGCAGTCTTTGGAGCACTATCTCACAAACTCTTATATGAGCAAGCAGTTTGATTTTGGTAGAGCTCCTCCAGGATAAAGCGAAGCTTTGCAGAACTTGGAAGGTGGCCAGTTGCTGAGGCCCCAAAGACACTTCTCATCACCTTATTTTACATGTAAAGTGCTGTGCATTTCATGTAGCAATGCATTTATACAGTCTTTGATCATTTATCTTTCTCAGGCCTCTGTAATTTTCAACTTAACAGCTTCATTCTTTACTGCACGTGGCCTCATTTGATTTCCTTATATCTGCAGAGGAGAAATTAGACAGGCCCAGAGTAGATCAAACAGTACTGAATTTGGGTCATTATCCACAAAGCATCCCAAGACAGTCTGCCAGTTTGTAAGGGTCTCTTCACAGCAGCCATTTCACCTGAACACCCCAACATGTTTAGATTTAAGCAGACCAAACCTACTCGACTGGTTTAAACTAACTACAGGCTCAAATACTCCAGAGTTCCTTATCTACATCTTTAAAAACAAACACTCCCTCCCTTCCTCCTTTCTTTTTTCTAAGTACAACTCTGGAACACTGAACATCAGCTTTGCTGCTGTTAACCTGCTTTTGTTATCATTCATTTTTCATACTTTTTTTTTAAAAGATGCTCAGTTTCAAATTGAACAGGATATTGTATCATCCTTCTGAAACAGTTTTTGTGTCCCCCTTTTTCTCCATATCCAACAAACAGAAAACACACAGTCCCTGCTTTTATGACTATATCTGCATATAGTCACTAAGAAAGGTTATTTTTTTTTCTGTCTGATTGATTTTTAAAGTTTGTCTATAGCATAAAGTACTAAGATATTCTTTTTACGTTTTGATTTGTGAATAGATCCTGAAACACTGACCTTTAAACATTACTCATTCAAAAGATGAATTCAAGGGCTTTTCTTATCACTACTACCAAAAAGATACAAATCAAGTATATAATAACATCGCAGCATTGAGGCTTGGAGCACAAAAAAAGTCTTGGCAAGCAATAGCTCAGACATACTTTATTTATTGCAACCATGAAGCTTATTACAGACATCTTTGTTTACCTCATCACAATTAAACATTCATGAGGAAATATTGTGGAAAAATGCATTTCTGGTCTCATAGCTAATTAGCACAATTTAAGAGTACCCCATAGTTAAGCTGCCCAACCACTCTCTCAAGGAAAGTGGGGAACCGAATCTAAATTACAAGTGCTCTCCTCCCCTTCATCTGTGCATTTTCAAAAGCAGGATTTCAGTTTTGCTTACCAACCCATGTCTGACTGATCTGACCTAACAAAGAGTACAGGCATACAGGAATAAACTTGTAAAGTGTATTTTGCTTAGCTTGCCTCTTAGTGAATCACTGAACTTCTGTGGTGTCTATGTCATCACATGTGATCTGGATTTCAGTCTAGAACAATCACTGAGAAATAACTAAAGGGACACGTGAAAAATAATGAAAACTTGCTATTTACAACAAAATCAGTATTTTCAGGAAATCAAGGAATACTGACACCAAATACAAAATCTGTACCTTCCTATGTCCACATACATCTTTCCACTGCTATTATAATATTCTAATAGATTGGTTTTCCATGCAAGGTTATAAAAGTGTGGTTTATTAGGCTATTGCTACAATAAAGTTACAATTCTTCCTTGGGTTGAATTTATATCTAGCTATCAAAATGCATTACTATGTTCCAGTCACTTCTTTTTTTTCTTGCAAATTTACATACCCCTCCCCTCCAACATTTTAAAGTAATCAAAGGTGTATCTAGCCAGTATTCAAACCAACAGCTCTGTATTTTCTACTGTAGCTCCTTTTTTAAAATTATTTTCTAAGGCCATGATATGTACGGAGGCAGTTGCCCATGATGAAACCTCAGCTACCTTATGAACTACCTTATTAAAAATTAATTGTAATTAGACATTGAAACCCAAGAAAATTATTAATCCTTCTTCCATACTCTTACATCTTGTGAAGCACGGTGGCGGTGACCCTCAGGACAAAGGCTTATCTTAGAAAACTAATGCGCAATCAGTTCCCCAGACGCGGCAACAGCTCGGGGTGAGGGCTCAAGGCTGGGATGGTCCTTAATAAAAAAATCCTGAGCCCCACGGTGCGTGTCACAGTCAGGCACCGACCCCGCGCGTGTCCGACTGCGACCAGCGCCCAAACCCCTACAGCTGCATCGCTGAATTTCCATGGGATCTACTCCATCACACGAGCTGGATTCCGGCCTGGAACAAGCCGTGAAGAGGAAATAAAGGGACGCAGGAAAAAAAAAAAACCAGCGAAAACTTGTTACTCGCAACGAAACCGGCGCTTTCAGAAAAACCAGGCGGCGAACTCGGGAAGAGCGCCACACCGCTGAACTGAAATAAACTTTTATTTATTTTTTTTTTTTAATAATTACACGCGAATAAACCCCTCCAAAAAAAACCCCCAACCAACCAAACAAAAAAACCCCAAAAAACATTTTAGCGGTGCAGGGAGCGGGGATGCCGGGACACCGCCACCCCCGGGTTGGGGTGGGGTGGGGGGCTGGTGGTTCCTCTCCCGCGGCTCGGGGGTGGCGGGGAGGAAGAGAAACCGCTGCCCCATCCCTGCCAAGGACTCCGCCGCGGAGAGCGAAGGCGCCGAGCAGCGCCGGCTTCGGAGCGTGTTCCCGCCCGCACAGCTCGGGGGAGGCGGAGCCGCGCCGAGCCCCGCCGCCCCGCCCGCCCCTCGGCCCGCGGAGCGGAGCGGGCGGCGTTCGTGCCCGGCCGCTTCCTGGTCACCCGGAGGAGGAGGATGGTGCAGAGCACAGCAGGGCCGGCCGGAGCGCGTGGGGGTCCGTGCTGCCGCCATGGCTCGCTCTTCAAGAAGAAGACCGTGGACGTGAGTGGTGCCCCGGGGGAGCCCGCGGCCGCCCCCAGCCCTGTCCCCTCCCCTATCCCCATCCCCATCCCTCGCAACTGCCCCGGCCGGGCTGTCCCAGGCTGGGGCTCGGGAATGGCAGGGACCCCGCGGGGTCGCGCTTCGAGGCCCCGCGTCCCGAGAAAGGTCGCAGGAGAGGAGGAGGGAGAGGAAGCGAGGAGGAGCAGGAGGCCACGCCGCCGCCGTGCAGTCACCGGCGGCGCCAGCGGATAGTCCCCGGGCCGGGCCGGCCCTGGCACGCTGGGGAGGGGAGTTCCTGAGCCTCGAGGGGTGGGACGCGGCCCCGTCCCGGGCTGTGGGTGAGGGAGGAGGAGCGAGGGAACAGAGCAGGCCCGCCGGGAGCTGCCGGGGCCCAGGAGGGAGCGGGTGTGGGATCCAGGCTCAGGCGCCGGGAGCCGCCACCGCTCGGCCCTTGGGGGCTGGAAACAAGTTGGCGTCGGTGTCTTTGTAGCCAGGCTGTCACCGGAACGCTAAAACTTGAGCAGGAATGACGATCTCCCAATGTAACGCCAGGAAAGGTCACTTACCTGCCAGCAAGTCCTGCTGGCGACCCCTCAGCGCCCCAGGTCGCTGTGCCCCAGGTGTGGCGTGGGTTGGGGAGCCCCAGGTCCGGCTGTTCTGGCATGTTGGGTGCCCCGTGTCGCGTCTGGAGGGTCGGCGTTTGAAAAGGGCTCGCCAAAAATGACGCTGCGCATCCACCAATTGTGCATCACCTGGGGAGAACACGTAGGGTTCCCGCTTGTCTCTTCCCATCTTTGGTTCGACACCTGAGGAGGGAGGGAAGGGGGTGTTGGCTCTAAGCTTCCATGACCAAGGCAGATCGTAGGAGAGTGAGACAGCACTAAGCTGCTGTGACCAAGGCCGATTGTAGGATCCAGGTCAAGCCCTTCCTGGATGTCTCTTGTCCAACCTGTTTTAAGGAATGGCAGTGCTTCCTCCTTGCCCTGGTGTGCGAGACGGCGGCGTGACACACGGGAATGGCTGGTTATAGAAGACTGTCTTGGGAACACCCCATCATCTTCTATCTGCTCAAGCAAAGCTGGGAATTTGCTTCAGTTGTCAGAGAGAAACAACAGCCAAGTTCCCATCTTGGCCTTCACCTCTATAAGCAAATGAAAAGTCCTGTAGCTGCAGACAGTGGTTGCTTTCAGTTTATTGCTATCCATGGTTTGAGCCATTCTGTGAGACCAGAAACCATGGACATAAGCATCATGCTCGCCCTCATTGTGTCCTGACTTAAGTACAGCTCTTGTTTCTTACCATTGTGAAGTTCCTACCTCTCAAGCTTTCTACACTAAGGGATTTTTTTTTTTTTAATAGTTAGCATAGTTAGAAAAGCCAGTCTGGTATGTAGCTATTAAGCTTTTTCTTTAATTTTTGCAAGTGCAGCTATGCTAGCAATATACATTTATCTGCCTTCAAAATTACTTGCCTCTAGCGTTGTTCTCAGAATGATTTCCACTGCTGCTTTGTCAGTGTGAAGAACAGTGTTATATTCCATGTCCTCTTTCAGTTCTTCGTTATTGTCTATTGAAAAGTCTGCATCTCCTAAAGATGCTTTTTGTGTAGTTATCAGAGTAGCAGTAGCACTGTAAAAGTAGGTGTCTTTTTCAGGGCATTTGTTTGGAATAGGTATTTATATTGGTTGAAAGAGGTAGTGTGTATTCTGTCTTTAAAATGCTACTGAAGGTTTGGGTTGTTTTTTTTTTTTTATTCAAACCTATTACTGTTGAAATAATTTCAGCAATGGATGTTTTACAGTATTTCTGAATGTGGGGATGAAGAATGTGAACACTTCTTTCTGTTCATAGAAAAATTGCCCCAAGCCTTAAGAAATGAAAAGGATGGCCTGTGGTTCTAGAATTTATCCTTCATGCCTTCATCTCTGTTATTAACTCTGCCTGTACGTATTTGCTTTTCATGTGCTTCAAACTTTGCCCTGATGTTACTTCTGTGGATTAGAAGAAAGAGCTCTAAACAAAGTTTGTGTGAAGTCTGCTCCTTTCAAACTCTCACCCAAAGTTATCTAGTGTTGTGTAGACACATACATTAAGAGGAGAGGAATCTCTCTTAAATCCACTAACTTCTTTCCTCTACAAAGGTCAGAGGATGCTGAGTCAGATGCAGACCTACCTCTCTGCCTTTGCCCAGGTGAATCACACCTAAGCAGATGTTGTAAATTCTAACAGAAGTTAATTGCAACTAGCATGATTGATACCTGGATTGTCAAAAATACTTGCTTTAATAAGTGGATGTCATCACTAATAATTTTTTTAATAGTACAGTGGACAAAACCCCTATGAAGGATGATAGGTTTCACCTGACAGACAGTGTTCAAGCTTCTGCTGGCTGCATCAGTTGTCAGGAGACTTAAATGTGTTATAAAGGCCTCCACTTTCCTATCTTGATATTCTTAAGCATCTTTTAATTGAAAAGGCTCAAACACTGTGGCTTTATAGTCCGACTTGAAGTTGGGCTGTGCAGTGTGGTACATTTGTGGAGGAGAGTAAGCTCTGTCAGATCAGAATAAGGATAGAGAAGAGCAGGACCCAGGACTTGCATCTTGGAGTATCTTCACTTTTTTAGTGGACCTGGGAATTCCTCAGCTGCTCAGGGATCTCATACATCAGATTTCTTCAGCTGCTCTACCTGTTGCAGTTAGGCCTGACTGGTTGAAAAGCAGAAGGATGACACTGAATGTGCTATGGCTGAGTTGGTGTTGAACTCCCAAAAAAAGGTCTGTACTGAACTCTTCCTGTGGGGTGAAGATTCTTGTTATGGTTATGGTGCAAAGAAACATCCCAAGTAAAGTAGCTTTATTTATTTATTTATTTATTTATTTATCTTACAGGATATGGCCTATGCTGCTGAAACCCAATCGTGGTATCCATAAAATTGTACTGTGGCAATATTTCATGTATCTGAAGTGCTGACAGTTCACTCTGAACAAAGAGAGGCTGTCAAACACGCTGCATGCCTGCAGGGTGCTTAGCAGATGTTTATGTGGTATTGAAAACTTTTCCCTATAAATATTTTCTTTCCAGATATAATAAAGGAGCAAAATCGAGAGTTAAGAGGTACACAGAGGGCTATAACCAGAGACAGAGCAGCACTTGAAAAGCAGGAAAAACAACTGGTAAGTAGAGCAGGGAACTTCATTTTGCTCTTGAAAACAAGCACACACACACAAGATGTAACGGAAAACTTGCAAAGTGTTAAAGATACAACTCAGTGTATCTTTACAATACTAGAATACTAAAAAAACTTGTCCTCCCCTTTTCACTTTTCAGTTAGTAATTTTTTTTCCAACATAATTTTAATATTTAAAAGTGATTCTCAGTCCTTGACACAGGAAAATCCTGAAACAACGTGTTTAGATAAAATAACCACATCGTTTTTTCCTGCAATTCTTGACATTTTCTATCCTTCAGAAGGCTTTTTCTAAAAGGCTTGTAAACTGGTGGTCTTGTGGTGGAAAGTGTCAGTGCTATCACATGTTCCCATGACTTACCAGTAGCAGAGAGCACTTGAAAACCCATAGGATATTGTGAATATCCCATAGGGTGGTTATTTTCATTCACGAAGAACTTCCCTAAAATTAGCTAATAAAGGTAAGACTATTTGCCTAAATTAAGATCTATTTAAAACTGACTGTGTGTGAGCTTTCAAGTATCAAGTGAATGAATGCTGCACCTGTGTGGCAGTATAATTGGATAAATGGATGTGACAGATGGTGGGGTTTGATGCATGAAGACACGCTCAGAGTGTGGGAAAAGCTGCGCGAATCCAGCCGGTTTCAGGAGCTATTGAGGTGATGTTTCATGGCAGCAGGTCGTGTGAATACCAAGAACTGGGAATAAGAAACTAAAAGAGAGAAGAGAAACTGTTTCTGGAAGCCTTGACCATGTAAGATATAACAGGTTGCTCATTGATAAGGCATTTTTCAGCGTGAAATATTCCGACTCTGGAAATCGCCTAAATGTTCGTGAATACTCAGGATGAAGTTTTGGTCAGTACAGTAAATTGTTTCAGAAATGTTGGATTTCTGAGGAGGAGAAGAAGAAAGGAGCAGTAAAATACGTCTTTGAAAAAGTTTAAAATTTGCTGTTAGAATGAGAGGATCAATGTACAATAAATATTAATTTTCAGTGTCAGATCAGGTGAAGGACCAAGGGCTTGACAGTCAATCTTAGGACATTTCATTTTGTACTTCCTTCACAAAGACTTTTTTTCCCTTATCTTTGAGGTACTACTCTGAGAAAGCCCAATTATATTAATTCTAAGTATAAAAATACCTCAAAGTATGCAGACAGTTCTGTTTCAGTTCAGTGACCTGATACGACTGTATGAATTTTGATTATTGTTTTTTTCCACAAGAACATAACTGACTTCAATAAACTTGCCCCAAACCTCTAAAAACCAAATAATGGACCCAAAATTTACCCAAATACTTTTTAATTAAGAATAAAAATCATCCATGTATGATTTCTGCAGCTGAATTATCTGCAGTGACTTGGCAATGGTTGGTGTAGTTTTGTATTTCACCTTGAAAAGGCAAGTTATAGATGCTATGTAGGTCTTCAATTTAGTGAGAAAACCCCTGTTTTCAAATCTTTGCTGTTAAAATTAGGGGGTACAAACCAGTGTTTGCTAGTGTGCTTTACTTCTGTTACAGGCCTCTAATGTTTGAGCAATCTCATGCCTCTTACTTGCCAGTCTTTACCTTCTGGGATTAAAAATACTGTGTTTGACACACCCTTTAGAAATTAGGAATTTACAGAGAAGATTCTGTACCAGTGACATCTCTGTAGTAGACTAACAATGATCTTTCCTAGTAGTCAAGGTGATGCAGTGGCTCAGTTTACACTCACCTTTACATGTTTTGCATGTCCTGGTGACTAGTACTTATCTTTTTATTTCCATATCTTTTTATAAGTTCACTTTTCTGGATTACCAGTGCACATAAAGTGAAGCAACTTCATTCCAGTAGTGGGTATATTCTCCTGAAGGATCACAAGTGAAAGCTGGTCTTTTAAAGGCTGCTTGTACTTAATGGTAAAAATCAAAATGCTTGAATGGCTGTATACAAAAAAACTGAGCTAATATGGCAAGACCTCCTTAAAAAGGCTGTAAAGGAAAAAGTGGTTGCAAAGTTTACATTATCAAGTCACAAATCAGAAGGCATACTTTGAAGAATCCCAGCTGACATTTGTGCCAGACTTTTTCCTGGTACCTCTGGGCTAAATAGCTTATTATTTCTCTTTGAACTGACATATTGGGGTTTGGGGTTTTTTTGTCTTGTAAGCCAGAAGTGTCTTTCTTATGGCATAAGCACATGCTGTTGTATATAAATTATACCACTTTTATTATGTTTTAATTTAAGTCCATCTAAATGATGAGGGTAAACAGCCTCTAATTATTGTTCATCCAACTTTATCTACTTCTTCCCCGAAAAGGTTTTGAGGTTATCTCAAGGCTGAAAAAGTGTTTCTTACGTGAGCAATGTGGTTTGATTGCCTGTAAATGCAAGAAATCAAAGATGATTAGAGTCCTGGCACTAGTAGTTGACTGGCCATAAGAATTTCTTCACTTTTTGGGTCTTTTTTTGAAGATTTTTGAAGCGTTGCTCTCTATCCAGATGTGGAATTGGATGTGCACATATAAGTGGATATGACATCACGCAGAAGTGGAGGTCTTTGGGGGAACTGTGGGCTGCCACACTGTAATTCAGTTCTGTTGTGTTTTCTTTTCTTGTGGTCACATCATACCAGCATTACATTCGTTCTGATAAACAGCCTTGATAGAAAATCAAGGAACTATTTATATAACTTTAAATGTCATTAAAAAAAAATTTAAGAGATAGCTCACTTTCGGAATTTCATTGTCAGCGTTAAGGCTTAATTATAGTCTTCCAATGAAAATTCTGTAGAAGTAATCTTCCCCCTTTTTTGAACAGGAACTGGAAATAAAGAAAATGGCTAAGACTGGTAACAAAGAAGCCTGTAAAGTGCTGGCAAAACAGCTGGTGCAGCTGAGGAAGCAGAAAAATCGGACATACGCTGTCAGCTCTAAAGTCACTTCTATGTCGACCCAAACAAAGGTCATGAACTCTCAGATGAAGATGGCAGGAGCTATGTCAACCACAGCCAAAGTAAGGCATTGCAAGACATTCTTTCACATTAAAATGCAGCACAGGGTCGCAAAAATTAAGTTGTGTGGCTTTGTATAAGACAATTGAAAGGGTAGAAGTTACTGCCTGCTGCCCCAAATGGTCTTGAGGACACAGGAGAGAAATGTAATTTTATTTATAGTATTGAATTTCTGTTTAGTCAGTCCAGCCACCTACCACTTTTCTAAGCATATTTTCTTAGGTTGGATGTCTGTCAAATGTTTACATGGTAAAAATAAACTAATACCAGTGAAAGAACTCTTTTAGTACATAAAAAAAACCCCAAACCATGCTGCTACAGAGTCTTGCCTGTATATATTGTCACTAGCAGTTTTTATTGAGGAAAAAGTAGGGCATGCTTCGTCTAGAAATCAAGGCAGTGTGTCACAATAGCTTTATGGCTTGGGCAAGAAGTAGGTTATTGCTTTGAATCTTAAGTTCCTAAAGAAATCTAATCTGGAGTTCTGTTATTCTCTCTGTGCTCTCTAAGGGGACAGTATTGCATTAAGTTTTCTCACAAATCTCATCTCATAAAAGAGCGTGAAAAATCTCAGTTATCTGAGTTAGTTTTGAACTTTTCCCTATTTCCCTGAATTGATCAAGAGGGAGTTTGCTTTTGGCAAGGAGGATTGTTCAGCCTGAGGTGTGGGAAACAGAATTAGCACACAGCACTGTAGAACCAAGTTGTGCTTTTATCCCAGTCCAAGCTAAATCCAGTGAGGTGCCAGTTAAACACAGCAATGCCAATCCCAGCCCTGCAGTGGTACAAAGTCCTGGCTCTGTAGCAAAGACTTACACAGGGGACTTGTCTGACTGATCAGGTTCAACAGCTGACACAGTATTCCTGCAACAGTGTTCATGTGAACAAGTTGGTCTTGCTTTTTAATTATTACATGGTTGGCTTGGTTTTTATCTATGATATATCTTGAATTAAGTTTCTCCAGACCAAAGTGTTGCTAGATTAGTTATCAAGATTAAGTCAGTAGAGAAAAAAAAAAAACAAACAAAACCCCACAAAAATATTAAATAAATTACCCATCATCCAGAAAAATTATGGTTTTTGAAACACAGCAGGTACTTATACAGACTAGTTTGTGTAACGGTATTGGAGAGGAAGGCCTTAAGTTCTTTTGGTCACTTTTAAAGTCAATATTTTGCCCTATCAACTGGGAAGCTTAAAGAATTGTTTATCTCATAAAACCATCAGTGAAAAAAAATATGAGATCAATTGTCTCAACAAGCAAGGCAAATATATGAATGCAAAGATTTCAAAGTATTCTCGGTGTTCTTTTTAGCATGGATGGCACTAACTTTGGACATGGTACTAAGTTCATTTAAGTTACCTGTTTCTTTTAATCATGCATCTGACCCTTATTTTCTGAAGATATATAAACTGTATCAGTGCAGATATTTTTGATGTCCTCTAGTGGTGGGTCAAAGAAATTTTCCTTTCTGAATTAGAACCTGCAGCCAATTGGTTCTTTAAAGTGTGTAGCCTTCAGGTTAGTAAATATTCTCCCATTGGTTTCATTCAGACCAGCTGATTTTTCCTAATATAAGGCCAGGAGAGGGTCATGGTGCAAGAAAGATGCAGACATTTAAAAGTATATCTATTAGAGTAGTAGATAGCAATATTTCTTACTAAGTGCAGACTGTACTGTTGATCTGTTATGTGTCTACAGTTCTCATGGGATGTAAAGAGACAATGAAAGAGAAATTTGGACTAAAGTGTTTTTATCAGAAAACTCTTATTCCTTCTAAATGAATATATTGGTATTTTATAATGTCTCATTGTGTGATTAAGAGTTTTTTCCATATTAATAGACAATGCAAGCAGTTAATAAGAAAATGGATCCACAAAAGACACTACAAACTATGCAGAATTTCCAGAAGGAGAACATGAAGATGGAAATGACTGAAGAAATGAGTAAGTTCTGCACTGTGGGGAACAGGTAGCTGCTCTTGGAAGGGTATAGCCAGTCTGGAAATATTGATGCTTGAAGTTTTATTTCTACAGTTAATGAGACTGACAGCAAAACTGAAGAGCAAACGAAATAATGGATTTCTGAGCAGTGAGACTGAACCTTAGGGTTTTTAAAACCTCTAGGTATTAAGTCTAGGATCTGTTCCTTCCCATCTTCCTGCAAAACATTCATCATACTTTTAGAAAGAATATGCTGGAAGGGAAGAGGGTTTGAAACCAAGTCAAAACATTGTTTGAATAACTGGGGGGGGGGGACTTGTAAAACTGTCTTTTCTGTAACTGATAGTTCTGCACATGCTTTTTCTTCTGTGACTGGACACTTCATTTAGATATTATTGATAATCTCAACCTCACCCAAATGGTGGTATGGTTTGGTTTTGTCTCCTTTTTTTTTATTTTAAGCCACAAGGCAACTTCTTGGGGAGGCATCAAGTTTCTTGTTCCTGAGTGCATGTGTCCACTGTCAACTAAATAATGCCAGACTTCCTGGTGTTATTGGCACAGTCTCCTCCTTGTCCTAATCCCTACCACTGTGTTGGTCATACTAAATGATGTGGACTCAAACCAGTACAAAAACTTTGCAATTTGGAGGAATAAGAGGAAAAGGATTTTTATGAAACTATTGGAGACGTTTTTCAGAAATGTTAAAATCCAGTGTGTATGTGTGGGGGGGGATATACAGGTGCCAAACTATTTTGGTGAAACCAAGTATTTTTATAAATGCCTTACCTGTTGTTTCCCTGGCTGTGCTCACAGGCTTTGCAAGGCAGAGGTTAAGAGAGCCTCTCCAATGTCCAGGTGCTTCCTGTTGGTACCTTACACAGTGCTATTACTACTGGGAATGGTACTACCAGTGGTATTACTACTCTGCAGTGGTAGTCCTGTGTTCTGAGAGGGTAGAAAGATGGTACTAGGTTATATTAGTTATGTTCTTGCTTCATGTGGACATTTTTTTTTCTTTCTCCTAAGTTAATGATACTCTGGATGATATTTTTGATGCTTCTGATGAAGAGGAAGAAAGCCAAGATATTGTTAATCAAGTGCTTGATGAGATTGGAATTGAAATCTCTGGCAAGGTATGGCTATTTTTACTCAGTTCATGTGGGTTTTAAATAGTTTATCCTAGCTGCCTTTATTTTACAGTTTTATTCTAAAAGTCAGCTTGTCATAACATGTGTTGTTGTTCTGGCTAAAGAAAACTTCTGTCTTCTTCTAGATGGCCAAAGCTCCCTCAGCTGCCAGAGGTTTGCCATCTGCATCAACATCAAAAGCTGCCACCATATCAGATGAAGAGATTGAACGACAGCTCAAAGCTCTGGGAGTGGATTAGCTTGGTGGCTAATAATTAGAGTCTGCCTTCTAATTATTCAGCTGTAGACAGATGTACAAAGTGCAAATACTCTCTCAGTGCAACTGATTTCTAGGAAAACTCTGAAGCTTCAGAAATGACAACTCGAAGTTGGTACTGGAGGAAGGAGAAGGGGAGAATGTATTAAATCAATTTACAGAGAGAAGTACATTTGGTATGTTCATTGCATGGACCCTCTTTGACTCTGGACCAACCAGGGGTGTAGTTCTAATGATAAATTCATTTATACCTGATGCAAATCTGTCCTCCAAATTCAAAGCTTTCTTCTATCCCAGCTCCTGATATCTCTCTAGAACTGGCTATTCTGTGGCTGGTGATGCCACCTCCTAGGACAGCACCTATGTAAGATTTATCATTTTTATAAAACTATCACTATAGAAACATTCTTAGTCTGTCATTTTAACACTTCACCTTTGCTCTTCGTTGGAAACTGTTTTTTCCTTAAGAAATAGCCTTGAAAGTCTAGCAAATTTAAGCAGAAGGAAAAGGCATTTTATACAATGCTTTCAAATTCCTGTAGCAACTTTTGAGTTGATTAAATACTAGCTGGTTATTCTTCTTACTGGAAGGGAAGGATACACTCCTCGTGCAGTTAATTTTTCTGGAAGAGGATTTACATTTGTTAGTGAACTTTGTTGCATGAAAGGCACTGATTGAACTCCATTGTACTGTAACATAGCTGGTTTCAACAGAATTGCTGTGCCTTTATGTATATAAATCTTGTACCTTTGTGATTTTCTTTCAGGATGAGTTTTTGAGAGGTGAGTAAACTTGTAATTAAGATGGTTTCACAAAATACTATGGTGAGACCTCTCTGTGCACCTGATGGGACTCAGTGCTGAAGCTGAGAAATGCACTTGTTCAAAAATGCAACTCGTGCACTTGCAAAAAGGACATTTGCCTGAAGCAACATTTGTATATATTTTACAGTATTTCTTAATGGAAGATAACTGTGCATAACTGTATTGTTTGCTAAGAAGCAATTGATCACATTGATAAGCTAAATTAAATTTTAGTTTTGAGAACACTTTTGGATCATAAATGATAATTAACTTGTCTAAAACACTATAATAAAAGTGTTCTGGTTCTGTGAAGGTTTTTCTATGGTCTCTGAACTGCATCAACATGATTCTGGCTTTAAGTGGAATATGCACTGGGCTAGTGAAATAAGAACTGTTGATACTTGAAACAGATGACAAGGCCTGAAAATGCAGTTCCCAGTTATGACTTCCCAGATATTCCTCAGCCCTGACTCTGCTGGAGATTATTTGCCCCTCAGCTGTGCTGATTTAGAGGGGCTGTTCATTGAACAGAAACAACAATCATCTTGGCTATAGAAAGAGAAAAGCAAAATACCTCCTAATAGCAAAACCAGGATAATTGTGTGGGGGACAAACTTCATATAGAGACTTTGCTGCTAGAGAAACTGTAGCAGGAAACCTCAATGAACCTACTGTTGTCACACCATCTGCTGTGTAGGATTGAAGTCAGCAGAGATAGAAAATTCATAGGAGAGCCTTCCTCGGGTTTTGGGCGTGGAACATGCAGGTGTTCTTTCTCTTTCAAGGAAATAATGGACAAACTATGAATTTGTCAGGTAGTGGGTAGGAATGTGTAAGTTAATATATTTCATATATCCAATACAAGGTGAATTTTTTTTACAAGTTATTTTGTAAAAATCTAATAAAAGGCTTTTTATTCCACAATGACTTTGTCCTCTGTAGGGTTAGTCTTACACATCTGTCCCTTAGCAGGCTTTCTGTGTACTCCTGTGAGCTCTGATAAATACTCCTTTGACTTGAGCCATAAAGCACCATAAAATTGATAATAGTTCCTTTTGGACCTTTGTCTTAAACTCAACATTAAGTAAAGACTTTTTCAAGTTTGCATTCCCTTGTCTGTAACTGGGTGCCCAAGTGCTGCTCTTCAGCACAGGAGGAGAAATCATAATGTGAACATAGTATAAAATGTTACTGACTGATTGTAGCTCAGTTGAACACCAAGGCTTATGTCCTCTCTGAATGAGGTGTGCACTTTATCCTTTTAATAACTGTCAAAATTGAGCATAATTCTATTATGAGTTCTTTCTTTACAGGTCTTTGATGAACAGGAATAAAGGCATTGCTGTTTTGAGTGAATAGGGCTGCTGATCTAGGGCTACTATCAATATCAATCTGGTGTTTTGTTAGAAGTTACATTTGAAATCCTTCAGCTTTAATTGCTGTAAAAATCTTTTGGTGACAGACTGAGAAGTGTGGTAGGTTTGCAGGCTTGCTTGGTTTTTATTCAGGTGTAGTTAGTATGTTGTATCTGCTCTAACAAAATCACATCCCCTCCTTAGAAACAAGTTTTGTTGGAATCACTCTTAGCAGACAAAAAACCCCAACCCACCACTCAATCCTTAAACTCCTTTTTCCTTGCTGACACCTCAATAGGAGCTGAAAGTCCTCCATCCAAGAACAGTGACATGGTTGTGCACACACACCTAAGAACTCTGCTCCATGGGGGCAGACCAAGGTCCATCTCACCCAGAATCCCACTCCACAAGTGCCCAGGAGCCATGCCCAGGAAAACAGCAAGAACATGATGAGCGTAAATGACACTTTCTCCCCAAATACTCTTCCAGTCTCCCACCTATTTTCAACATAGAGCACTTCCAGAGCCTTACAAAAGTTCTACACACAACAGCTTTGAGTGTCTTTCCACCTGAGGACTTGTCCATGTCAGTAAACTTCTGGCACCCACATGTTTTAGTAGGGAAGTTCCACAGTGGTTTTTTTTCCCTAACCATGATAAGAACCACCACTTTTTTTCTTTTCTTAGGCTTTTTTCCAGCTTCACGTGTTTACTCCTAGTCCTGACATTAGGCAAGGTGGTGAACAGCCTACCTCCATCCAGCCTTTCAGTACTGCTCATAATTCAGGAGACATCTGTAACATGCAGTGCACACATTAAATCTAGCAGAGAGTCAGCAGCTTCAACTCACCGTTGATCAGCATCTTGGCCTGTATGGGGACCTTTGCTATGTCTGTTGTGTCCTTCCAATGAGGGCACATGGAAACAGGTGAACACAGATTTATACGTTGTGATAACACCTTTTCCTGCCCTCTGTTGTGGTTCTCACACCCTGCCTGAAGTTGCCATGGGAAGAGCAAAAAAAAACAAAAAACAAACCACCACACACAAATATCTCAAGAAAAATAGTACAGCCCATCTTGGTTGAATTGCCAGCTAAACTCTTGCAGGTTTGTAAAGCTACCTCTCAGGAATCTCATCTAGGGTGGGTTTTTTCACCCAATCAAGAGTGATTGTTGTTCCTACATTAAAAAAAAAAAATAATGCATTGCCACTTTCTGTAAGTAATGGCTGCAGCTGCAGCCCTTGAAATTTATTTCATCCAGCCTTTCTTCTTTAAACAATTCTACTCTAACTTCTTTGTATTTCCCTGGCAACAGCTAGATGTGTTTAGCTGGTGGCTGCTTCCCCCACTTGGCCTTTTGTCATTCTTTTGCAAGAAAATGGCCTTATGTGTCACCTTTCATTTTCTTTTTCTCTGTTTCTGCAGTCAGCCTTCACTTGTGAGACTTTTTGTAGGACAAGAGACCACTGTGTTGTGGTAAGGCTGCTTTTGAACTGACTGTTACAGCAGGCTAAAATGCATAAGCACCTCAGCATGATACACAGCTAAAAAGGGTAAAGTGTCACCAAAACAGAACTACAAACCACTACCTAGAGTGCCAACTGTATAAGAATATTTTATTGGATGGGGGAGCTTGGGAAATACAGGCTTATAGCATTTCTAAGAAGCCTTGCATAGTTAAGAAAATAATTTAGAACATAAATAAAGTTTAGATACATCAGATAGTGTTTTCAACATACATAACATTAGATCACATAACACGAAAGGTACACAACTACATGCCACCACCTTTGCTGAGGGCTAATCTTCTCAACTGTATTTATCCTTCAGCCTCTGGGGAAGTCCATGTTCTGTTGATCCACGTGGTGGATCAAGTCTCCAGCTTGGCCTTTCTCTGCTGTAGTGGGTGAGCTATGCCAGTGATGAGAACAGCCTGAAGACAGCACACAGTGCAATTTCTCCCCTCTGAATTATTAAACTGAAGTTCTGAATTAAGTGGTGCATTCATCCATAAAAAGATATTTTTTTAAAAAAATCCAGGAGCCTGATTTCCATAGCTGAATATGCCTGTGGTCACTGTAATAAGTATCAGAGGTAATTTAATGTACACTAGAGAGGGAGCACTTAACTTGTACACGCTGCTTCTAAGAGGTCTCGAACATTAAACTCCTTTTGCTTTCTGTGGGCCTATTATCTAGACATTTTCTAAATCATCAGGTCTGTTTTATGGAAAAATAAAATGTATGTGGCCAGTACTACTCGCATGTACTCACTTAATTTCAGCCCTGGGAAAACAGTCGAAAGTACATATATGGTAACGGGCTAATTCCAATAACAATGAGCAGGGCTGATGAGATGGCTGGATAATCTATCCCTGGTGAGTACTAGAGTCATTAACTGACTTTTCTCAGTGCCTGTCTGATAGGTGGAGCTCTGGCACTGGTATTTCTTTCCCTATATTATCTCTCTAGGCTGGAGGATGACAAATATGGGATTATTTTCAATTAGTGGGCTTTAAGAGTGCGGGAATGTGCAGTGCAACAAATGCTTTGTTTGGATACTTATTTCAGTTTTCTTTTTAGCTTAAAACACTACCTCTGGTGTAAGTATGTCCACACATGGTTTTAATCAGAAAAAAAGTACAATGCAGAGAAAGCCCAACATAATAAGTCCCTTGATAATTATTTTTCCCCCCTCAGGTCACAAGGTCTTAAGGTAAAATTGTATTCCCATTTTTATAGCTAAGCCTATCCAAACCAAACTTCAAGGCACATAACAAATTAGCAAGAATTATCTTCGATAACAAATATTAAAAAAGACACTTCTACTTGCTACCCTTTGAAGGCAGTCAAATGTTATGCTGAGACAGAGCACACAGTAGAAACAGTGTTGACACCTCTGTATTAGTAAACTTGCCCTACCATAAGTAATGACAGCAATTATGGCTTTAAATATACATTGTAGGATTTAAAATTAGACCCTCCACAGCACACTACACCTGAAGCTGCCTAGCTTGTGAGAGAAACAAGTAGTTTACTGATTTTTCTCCTTTTTTTTTTTTTTTAACAACATAGCATTTACAGTATTTACAGAAAGCAAAACAGAAATCCACATCTATACATGGAAAAGCTTTACCGGCATTCATGGTGTTCCTTGATAATAGAACTGAAGGTGTTCTGGTGTAAACTCGTCTTCACTCTTTTTTCCCTTTGTCTTCTGTTGCAAAACCAAACTCTTACGACTTCTTTCTCGAGGTTGAGCCCCTCGGCCATCCTCATAATTTCTTGAGAAGAAGGTTTGCTTTGTTCTCCAAAGTGCCTCTCTAGGGCTTCTTTGGCAGCGATACTGGAGAAAGGGATAAAATTTCGCCTTTAGAAGCTTTTCTGGGCGTTCAAGCTTTCACTGCTGGTTCAGGGGAAGGGTCAAGGGGCAGCACTGAAGGCAGTGACTTGGTTTGTTTCCTCTTTTTTACATAAAGGAAACCCACAGTTTCTATAGTTCTTTGCTGACGTGAACAGTGTGACATGATGCAGAATTTCAGCACACAGTAATTAAAAGGCAAAACTAGCATGAAGTTCAGTGCAATTTCAGTGTTAACTATGAATTATTTGTGCTTCTTGATGCTGTTTAGGAGATACAACTATTAACTAGCCATAAACGGGGGCCCAGGAATTGGAACAGTCTGCTCCAGTCACAGCAGGGCCGTAGGGGTTCAGCAAATGCTCATCAGTGGCATTACCTGGTTGTATCAAATAATTTGGATTTATAAATGGGAAGATTTGCAAAAAGGTGTGTGCTGTATCAAATTCTGCATCTCATCGTGTTATAGAGAGAGCACTAGAGTGTTTCTAGAAATTGCAGAGGTTCTGGCAAGGTGTTTTAGCAATCACCACACTTTCCAAAACTCTGCCTTAACCTATTCCTCAGAGCCAGCAGCCACGAAAGTTGAGTGGTTCGCTAAACAAAATAATTTAATACTATTATTTTTTCTTATTTTCAGATAGAATTTGCTTCTAATTTTTGTTACACAGTCTCAGAAAACACGGAGCATCTGTGACATGCTTTTGTGCCACCGGGACGCACCCAGAACAGCCTCAGCAGCAGCTGTAATTTCTTTGGACACAAGAGGGCACTTCATGCATTATTCTGAAAGTGAGGTGAAGGTATTTCTGCCACAAAAATACACGCGGTGTCTGCTGGAGTTCTAACTTATTTCATTGCTTCATCTGTGTTATGCTGTTTGGTCTCTCATTTACAGGTCAATTTTGCAATATTTACTAGTGTTACCAAAACTACCTAATTCATAGCATGGTCTTCTGCACACACAGAATTATAGAAACATCATTATTTTTTACTAACAGCTTCTAAGGGTTTGGGCAAAGTATATAATAAAATAATTTCCACAAATTCAAATTAAGTAGTTTTTGCTCTGGATATGACTGTTCTAATTTAGTTATTGGGGCTTTTGTTTTAGCATTAGTTAACCTTCAAACATCCACTAAGAATTTGTATAAAGCCCATCTCCCTGATTAGTTTCATGTCTTTAAATTGAGGTCCTATACCTTTAAAGGAGTAATTAATATTTTCTTACTGTATGGGATTTGGTCCTGAACTTCTCAATTATCTGTGTCCTTGGCAACCTGCCATATTTGATACTCCCACTGCAGCAAGCTTACATGTAAAAGCAGGAATAATTTAAAAATAATTTAAAAATAATTTAAAAATTAACAATTTAATAATTTTTAAATAATTTTTAAAATGCTTAATATGAGGACTGATTTTATCAATAGCTTTTTAAAAACACCAGACCTCAAGTTTCTGGCAAATTTATATGTGTTTTTTTAATTGTTTCAAAATGTATGTGTTTATACCAAAATAATGCAATTTATTTTGGTATAATGTAGAATCTCTCAAAATAAAAACAAGGGTGCTCTTATACCTTGCTATATAGATATAATGAATTTTTGACAGATCTGGAATAAAGTATCTTTTCATACTTAAGTGTGTTGTTGAAAAAAAAGCCTTTGATTGGGAAAAATAATATCTTTGGAATAACTTGGGGTCTGATGGGTTATGCTGTTATTTTCCACGGGCATGTTTCCAAATAGTGAAACTTTTAGAAGCACTAGATGCAGATATTCATGAATGGAATATAGCACTTCAATTTTGAACAGAAGAAAAAGCATCTTAGCCAAAGTGGTTTCTAACCTGTAAAGCCCTAAATATTTATTACCTTATGGTGGTTCTGCGCTTCCTCTTCCGCTCATTCACTCCAACTTTTTCATTATATAAAGCTGTATTAAAAAAAAAAAAAAGAAAAAAATTAAAAAAGAGAACAAAACCTGGTAGTTTTTCCATTCTACGGGGAATGGAAAACAAGCAGAATCATCTCCAGAAAAATAGTCAATCTTTGAAGAGAGAAGAAAGCATAACAGAGAGGAGCATCACACATAGGATCTTTCTGTTGTGTAGGATGGTCAGTCATTGTTTTACCTCCAGCTATAAATGGTTATAAGCAAAAGTGGTGTGGCACCAGTAAAGATGCAGAGGAGCTGTGCTTCTGTCCCTTCCTCTGACATACCTTGCTCCTCCTGCCCTTCGGGGTACAGTCTGGGGAGATGGCGTCCATTTCCCTACTGTCTCATCCTCCTTCAGAAACACAGCTTTGGCCCCCAACCCCATTTATTCATCTGCCTCGTCCACCTCACCTTCTGATGGACAAGTCTCTGCTCTCTTCTCAGAGGCCACTGTCTGCAAACATGATCTGCCACTGTCTGCAAACATGATCTGCCACCCACCACAGCCCCTCACATGCGATTCTTGCCTTGTGGCGACCACAACAGCAGAGCCCCTGGTTTCCAGCACAGTTACAGGGGAAGGAAGCTTTCTACACTTGGTTCAAAGGAAACTGAAGTGTGTGGCAGAATAAAAACGTTTCCTACTGTTGAATACAATGCCAAATCCAAAAAAGTAGCATTAAGATCATCTTCCCTTTGTTCCCATGCCCAGCGAGTGCTGCCTGGTGGTTGTGCTTTCGCTGCCACCTCCAGGCTTGCTGCTTCCCAGCATTGCAATTCATCCAGCTCAAAAGGCTGTTCTCAGAGGCAACCACTTTCTTTAAGTCTCCCAGCCTGTCCTAAAGTACTCTTTGCCCAGAGAGCCCTATGACTCTTCCTGCAACTGGAAATTAACTGGGCAAAGGGAAGAGGATTTTAGCTTACAACAAAAAACTCTATACCACATTATTCTTCTTCAGGGTTTAAAGCTCACTGCCACAGCTGAACTCAAATCCTTTTCCCCATGGCCATATCTCACATGCCAGAGGTTGGAAGGAAGACTCCTTTGATAGTGAAAAATCCCTGCTGCTAGAGGGGGTGTCCTGCAGGTCCTAATAATATGCTACAGGACTGGAGCTAGCTTGCTGGGATGGGACTGAAGGAAGTTTCTCCCAGCAGTCCAAGTGATGTTTCTGCTATTCTGTACCCTCCACATTTCAGTTTGCCCCTCCTTGCTCACACCCAAAAAAAGATAACTAAAATTTAAGACAAGCACACCTTAGCATCCAAATCAGATTAAAAAAAAAAGCTTTAATCTATGGATTATATAGTCCTTGGGCATATGTATGGCATTCTGGTTCAAATGCTAATCAATATTTAGATGATTTCAGTTTCCTACCTCCTACTTGTTCTGCTTCCTCCAGCCACTTGGACAGTATGGATTTCAGTTTGCAGGCGTTCTTGAAACTCAGCTGCAAGTTTTCAAACCTGCAAATGGTTGTTTGGCTGAATTCAGAGCCGTGCACAGCAGCCAGTGCTTCTCCAACGTTGGTTTGTGTGTAACCTGTCAAAAAACAAAGAGAAAAAAAAGTAACTTCAAAGCTATCTTGAGTGCTTAGACCTTCACTTCTGACTCCTGTGGACAGTGTGTGCCTGCAGTGCCTTCAGGATGAGCTCTCTGCAGAGGTCTCTGTGGCTGACTGAACTCTCCTCAGAAATGTGTTCAGTCTCCTGTTGGTTTCAGTTGGTTTACACTTCAAGATTAGGGATTTGAGAAGGATCCTGACATCCATTTTTTCTACAGATGATGCAATGGTAATAAACTAATCCCTAGTGGCTCTCCTGTTGTTTGTTGCAACAACTAAGTTGAAGTGGTCAGAGAAATGCTGCAGTTTCCATGCAGACACTGACTCTGTCTCAGCAGCAACCTCTTTAGTGCTCTGAGTGTATATCTGCCATGTTCAGGAGGCTGGATCATTATCCTCCTTTTCTGCCTCTGCACCAGAACAGGAAGGATCTCTTTGGACACTGAATGTCTCATGAGGCAACTTTTTACCTCTGTTTTGGTTGCACTAACTCCAACTCTCTCAGCCTCAGGCACACCACCCATATTAACTTTGTCTTCCCTCGTAAAGCTCAACCTCAGGTTAGTTTTCCTGTGCACATTGCATTTCTCCCATCAGAGCACCAAGCCCAGGCTCCATGTCATTTGCTTCCAGCAAAGGAAGTTTTGTTCCCTCAAAAATTCAGGATGAAGATGCACTGACTAACAATGTGAGGCTAGCAAACACTTTCCATTGCCATGCCTGACAACGAATACATGACATACAGGAAAATCAACCAGGTTCCAAATATTTTTAAACCCTCATTTCTTTTATTTCAGTTTAGACTGAAAACGAAACACACCTACTTTCTAGCTGTTGAGATAGTGCATAGATACCTCTAAACACCTTCTAATTTTTTTTAGATTTATGAAACTAGTACGATTTCCTATGATTCTAATGTAATAATTGATAATGACAAAATCACAACTCTACAGAGTACTCAGTATTCCCAAATGGGCTGCATCTGCACTGCTGGGTGTTATTTTTTTCTTTCAGTACAATTCAAGCAAGGGTGAGGTTTTTACATTGCAATGTACCCCTATTTCCTACAGATGAGAAAGACAAGGCTCAGTCTGCCTTTGTCCTCAGCTAAGATTGGCCAGTGAAAGACAAGCAGCTCACTGGAGACTCTCAAATGTGATCCATCTTGCATGAATCAGACAGCAACAAATACATCAGTTGCTGCTGTACCTGTGTCTTGGCACAAGAAAATAAATCAGGAAGAGAAACTTCCTACTTGTGTGGAAGGTTTCCCATGGCTGTCACTGGAATGACACTACAACCTCAGATGAAACTCTTTGTGAGGAAGAGGGTGGGTATAAGAGGTTAGAGCATGTGCTGCCCTAAGTTGCAGATAATTTGGAGCCGTGCAGAATATTTCATCTGCTACTGAATGTAATTTATTGAACAGCAATAATTTTCTCTGCGCTTAAGACAAATAATTTAAGGGCAGGCAAGTTTGAAGTCCCTTCCTGCATACTAAGCTGCAAAAAGCTGAAGTTCATTAATTCCAATCAAGTCTTCTAGGAATGGAGAAAGTTTGGCAGTACAAGGCGAGATTAACGTTATGATCAGGCAGCTGAAGAGGCCAGCCTATAAAACACTCAGAAATAATCAGGCTTTCACTGGAATTTTTCAGCCTTTTGTTCGTGGGCAAAAAAAGCACATACCCAGCTTAATTCTCCGCAGCTTAAATTCGTTGGCAAATTTCTCCAGCTCCCTGATCTCAGGGGAGTCCATGTCGACGGGGTCTTCCACGGACTTGCTTTTCCTGCGGAACTCCTGCTTGAAGTCCGTGCCGGTGGGATCATCTGTGAGGAGGGACTGGTGCATGGGAGTGAAGCCGTGGCCCAGGGCACAGGAGCTGGCACTCAGGGCGTGCTCCGGGAATTTATAAAGGCAAGGGGTCAGACTACCTGAGCAGCACCAAAGAGAAAACTCAGAACAGTTATTCTCTACCACTACACAGTAAAAAACCTCCCTTCACCATCTCATAATCCTGTAATATTCATTACATAACCTATGAAAGTATCTAAGAGTGAGGATCTCTTAGGAGGTACTGTCTCTTTCTCATCCGAACTCATGAAAACCAGTCAACAGCCATGACTATCTTATTACTGAGTAAAGAGAAGCACTTAAATAACATAGCAAATAGTCTAAACCTAAACAAATAAAATCCAAGGTCTAAACTGGAATTAAGGAGCACATCTAGATTGACAGATCTATGTCATTTTAAGTCACCCAAAATTTGCCAGTCTCTACTTTCTGGTACAAAAAATATTTCCGTGTCAATGCCATGTGATGTATCCCATCTCGGATATGGGATACTCGGATGGGGTACTACCTTGGCTTGGCTTCAGCATAAAATTTCTTAGGGGAAAGCACAAAGGTAAAGACCTAAAAGCAAAAAAACCCTAACAACCAAAACCCAGAACACATTCAAAATGATCCTTCTGGCTTAAAAAGAAATTACTCAAGGACAAACCAGAACTAGCTTACATTACCTTCTGTTCACAAATATCAGACTTAACAAGGAGATTCGGTTAAGAGTGAAGGCTTGTTTTTCTCTAGGTATTGTACATAGAGCTAAAGAGTCTGTGACCTAAAGGAGGGGTAGGGGGAATCACTGGGGAAATATTAACACTCCTCGGTGTATCTGGAGCAGCCAGTAAATTCCAGGTTCTCAGGACACCCTTCCCAATTTTCTAAATTACACAAAACTTCTTAGAAGAACTCAGAACTTCATTAACCTCCACTGCTTCCTCCATTTATTAGGGTTAGGGTTTTCTTCACCACCCTGAATGCTCTCACCAGTGTTGGAGGTTCTAACCCCATGGGAATCACTTTACACGCCACATAGAGGATAACCACCAAAAAAAAAAAAAAAAGGAAAATATTTTCTCAAAAAAAAAAAGAAAAAAACCAACAAAAACAACTTAAAAAGAGGAGGACTTGCTTTGCAAGGTGCTGACACTGTTTACCACGTTGGGATGGGGCATGCTGCACGTCTGTAAGATGCGAGTCTGGGAGAGACTTGCCGACAGCATCTCTGGAGTTGAAGGTTTGATGCCTAAAAAATCCGAAAAAAGTAAGGGTAAAAAGAAGAAAGGAGAAAGAATAAAGATGTGTTTATTTTGGAAAGAAAGAAAATGAACTTGTGAGCAGTATATTTTGTTAAATGTCTATTAACTTTGCCAAGGGATCTGAAAAACGCAAGGAATGCTTGCAACAGGCACATAAAAGCACAATGCAGTAGCAGCATTTGGACATTTGCACACCATGAAGGAAATCTACACTCTGTCCCTATGCAGATATATTCATCTAAGCTGACTAGCTTGAATATTTCCTTCGTTCTTAAGTGAAATAAAATTCTGAGTTTGATTTTGGTTTATTTCCAAATCACAATTATCTCCTGGGAGTTGTGTTAATTTGGTTCATGTCATTATCTCATTGACTGCTACTTGAATGGAATAGTCATTCTCACAGAATAACAGTTCCTCTTTCTTACTGAGCCTGGCACATGCAAAAAGGAGCAGGATGCTAGCATATATTCATGAGTGTAAAAATCCATGACCATCTGTCTGATCTGCCTGCAGAATTCAGATGTCTTTGCCTTATGCCCCATTTTATTTTATATCTTTGGTCAGGGCTTTGTCAGCCCAGGCACTGGTAATATACAGGTATATTGGATATGTCACTCCCGGTCCCTCAAAAAGTGATTATCACCAGGAAAAACGGACATAGGTTAGCAAAAAGAGCAGCACTCTCCAAGTTATGTAGAGAGAAATAAGATACAGAGTGATTTCATGAAAGATGCAGAGGTTTTGGGGAAACTCCGGGCACTGACCCTGATTTCCTAACCCTTTTTTCTAGTGCCTTAATCCAAATCCCATCTCCTTTAAACAATCGTCTTGGATTGGTCCCTCTAAAGGAAAACTGCATAAAATCAGCATGCAAATAGGTCACCCAGCTGAGGGTTGCTCTCTTACCTGCCATCACCCCGTAGGTGGATGGTTGGTTTCCATAATGACAGGAGGGCACAGAGTAATGAAGTCCTGCCAAGGCATGTCCCGGCGTTGTCGTGGCAAAGGGAACACACAGGAACAATACGAGTTTGGACCAAAGACAAAACAGATGGGACTGGTAAGAAAACATGTGAGGATTCAAGACAGAGCCTTTAAGTTCAGAGGCAGAGAGTGCCCTTGTGCAGCTTTGGTGTGCAATCAGTAAGCATTTAGCTCTGGGCCACAACCATCAGGTAACACTTCTGGAAGTCCAGACAGTTTGCCAGGTCACAGCAGGTAAACTGCCAGTGTAAATAGTGAGACACTCTCAGAGCCAAGACCAGAAATTGCCATGCTGTGGTCTTGTTGCATTGCTTTTAAGATACTGTATGGTTATAACTCACTTTGCCTACACTGCTTAGTGAGGGGAGCACTGAACTGTTTGGAGGAGACCACTTCTTCTCCTCACACACCTTTCACACACTGTCTCATTCAGTCTTACAGAAAAACCAGTTCTATGTTCTCAGAAAATCACTTGCCTTCACTGTCATGCAAACCCCACCGTGAATGAAGGCAGCAAGGAAGGTAATATTTTATGCATGCCTAAGACCTGAGTTTCCAAAGGCAGCAGTTTGGGACATTCGCTTTTAGGTATCCAGAAGTCAGAATTTTTTAAGTGCCAATCCACAAAAAAAACCGTTTCAGAGTGCTTTGGTAAGGAGGTAGAGAAACAGGATGGTAGATTCTGGGCTCCTGTAAAAAGTTAGACCTAAATAAACACTTTCTATCAGCAGCAAATACACAATTAATTTGCCTCTTGCGTTTTCACAGGGCTATTTCAGATCTGTGCTCAGCAATAGCCAGGGCCTGAAGAATGAGACCATTTTTTTGCTGAATGTGAAATAAGAGATATGGCTCTTTCTCATGTATAAGTAGGAATAAAAATGCATATACTGTCCCCTCTAACAACTGCTATAAAATATAACATTAAAAATTAATGTTCACGAACATTCAGATATGTAAAACCACATTTTAGAGAACATACTCCAGTTGTTCAAAACAGTATAATTAATTAGGGATTAGAATCCCTCTTTTTTACAACATTAATCATAACAGTAAAATGTCCTTTTTAGATACACTTATACAGATATAATACCTACTAAGACAAACATGCTTATACTAATATAAATGCACTGAAAATAAAGACTGTGTTAATAATTCTAATGCATGTAGAACAACGCAACTTTTCTGTTGAGGTAAGATCTAAGTGTTTATTGGATTTTTTCCTATTATTACATAATCCACTGACTATTATTTTTATGCATGAAAATATAATTTTCAACTTGCTAATAATGACTTAAAATTAAATGGTGAAGATGATCCCATTCAGATTAAATAATAACAATTAAAATGCTGAGGATAATGCAGAACATCAGCTGAATTACATGGGCCTGAAAAGAAATATATTCACCTTTTTGTGATGAAGAATTGCTACATCCATTTTTCAAAAAATTGACATTTAAAATAAGTTGTTATTCAAAATTCTTTCACTGTTTTATTGAGCACAAATTCTCCCTATATGCTGTCACAAGAATAGCATTGTTTATTACAATATCTGAATCTATGTATGAAATCTGTAAACCTTTAGTCATTATAATTGTTACTGCTTTCACAGGGTCATTTTTTCACGAGGTTTGACCCTGTTTTTACAAGGTCATCTGCTAGATGTGACCCTGCAATCAAAATTTCCCAGGACTGCAGGGTCATTTTGTCCTTGGGAGGCAATTACAAAATATCAAAACTTAAACCTGAAGCAGGTGAGCATTTGCTTTTGGCTGGCTGTCATCATGTACCTCTTATTACAAGCCAGACAAATCTAGAAAATACTTCTGTGATACAGACACATAAATTTGACCTCATACAAAATTTAAATTCTCCTATTCCCTACCACTCCTGCTAACCAACTGGATATTTTGAGCCTCCTCCTTAATGTGTAAGATCCTGTTATCTATTACCAGTGATCAGTTTTCACTACTTACCTGCTTTTGCTTTTCGTTAAAATGTTTTATTACCAGAGCATTTCAGGAGAAAGCTAGTTTCTTGTTAAGACTCCAAATAAAATTCTAACCTTAATGCCATTTCAAATAAATCAAACTATGTCTTCTTCTGTTCTTGAAACCTTTCCATCAACAATTCCTGCATTCCAGAATCCCACTTCTGCACTATTAAGGATGTGACAAAACTCTCTTTCTCCTTGTCTCTCTCTCAGATAGTTCAGTGATTGCATAGGACGAGTATTTCAGTACATATAATTGGGTTATATACACAAACATTCCAAATTCAAAAATATTGTCAAGGCTTCTACTGCCAATTTTGAACATCCCACTTAAATCTTAGTCTTCATTCAGTATGCAATATGCCTTGAAAAGCAAGGTTTTTCCTTCTTTAAAGCTTCCCCAAGTGATATTTAGACCTGAGCTGTTTTAAACATATTTCCTATTTAAAGTAATTTATGTTATTTTAAATGGTGGTTATATAATAAGCTTTCAATTAATTTACATGACACTTCTCATTGAAGACTATATAGTCGTAGCAACAGTGACAATGTTTGAAGCTGTTTTGAATCAGTGCATTGGCAGCGTATTTGAGCCTAATCTCGTAACAAATTTAGGGAAAGCTGCTCATTTAGCTAAAACACAAACATTTGTGATTTTCCTCGTTCACTCGTATGCAGAGTTTTGTGAAATTGCTTCTGCTTTAACATCATCCCAATCGCACGTAACATTGACAACCGAGCACTTTAAATACTGCAGAACCTGACGAACACAGATCATCCAAAAAGCATCACAAAAAACCCCCGAGAGTTACTGAGAGCAAGATTATTTTGAAAAAGTACCTGTAGATACAACATTGGTGGCGTGGTTAGAGACATGCAGGCACTCTGCGGCGCTGTGGTGCATTATCAGAGGCAGGGAGGGAGAAGAGTCAGAATTCAGGGGTACAAAGGTGTCAGATGAAGTGAATGCTTGGCAACTCATACCCTCCAACAGGCAGGAGAGCCGCTTGTCCCCTGTTTTCTGACAGGACAGATCCTGCGCAATCCACGGCAGCTCAGACCCTATTCCCGGCTTTTTACCTGCATATGCATATACAGGAGGGCTCCAGAGCACAGGGGAGGTCGTGTGCAGGTATTTATACCACCAGGAAATCCCTTTATCCATTTTAATGTTCTTTTTTTCCCAGCAATATTGCCATACTGCCACAGAGCCTCCTTCCTTCCCACACAAACACAATACGCCTCCAATTAATGGGGGGTCAGGGGGAGGGGGCTGATGGGGGAAGAAGAGGGAAACCAGAGACATGATTTGACAGATATTTTCAATTAGGTCTTTTGTAAAGGACAATGACCAGGAAAAAAAAATATATATATAAAAGTATCATAAAAGTCGGTAGCAACAGAGAAGCTTAATGCTAAATAAGTTTCCACAGTTAACACCTGCCCCCAAAATCCCATCCAGGCAATTGTCTGGAAGGCAACCTGTCTGAGAGCTCAATCAGAAGTCTGCAATAGTCAAGAACCTATAGCAAAACAATCTGAATTAACCTAATTCCCAGGGCAGTTGCACAGTGATTGTTTGTCTTAACCTACAATAGTACAAATCAGAGATGTGTAAAATGGAGCAGCTGTATCCAGGAGGGTATTTTTGAACAGATAGCTTTACAATAGCATGATGTGCTAAATGTTTGTCTAAGATGAACTCTTGAAAGAGCCCACAGCATCACAAAAAATTCATTTATATTTCCTCTCACTAATTTATACTACCACAGCACCTACAATCTTCTCCAGAAAATCCTAAGTAAACCCAGGATCTTTTCTCAAAGATGTTGAGTGATTTTTTTTTGGCAGGAATTACTTTGGGTTACCCTAAAAATGATGAAAATTTCTGGAGGACACCATAGTCACATATTCTGTGTATATGCAATAAAGGTGGGATGTTCATTGTTTGGGGGGTTTTTTTGGTTTAGCTTGTTTTGGTTTGTTTTGGGTTTTGTGACCAAAGGTGGTTGGTCTTATTTTATGTAAAGATGATGATACTTTTTGTGTGTTTGGTATTCCTAACTGGTTCAAATGTCTGAACTAGAATTCTGACAATACAAACTTCAGATACATTAGGTGGGAGCAATCATACATGTCATTGCACCATTTTTCATGTATTATTGCAGAAAAGAGCTCTTGCATTGAGCCATTCTGTAGAAGCCCAGTTATTATATGTACATTTGTTTTGGGGAAGGTTGTGTCTGAGATTGTTGAGAAATTTCATAAGAATTACTGCATAATGCAAATTGCACATGAGCTTTAACAATGCTGAGGCTCTACATTCATAACCACTATCTATACATGTTTTCGTACAGCAAAATATAAAAAAACCTCAAAATAATTATTGCAATATTATGGGAGATACTGTCATCAAATGAACTGCCATCTGCATTACTTTGGGCTAGGCCCAATGTAATATTAATGTCTGTGGATTCATATTAAAAATTTATTTTAATAATTTTCACCTCTGAGGTCCTTTTCTCCCTCAGTAAGGAGCACGACACATCTGCCAGGGGCTTCAGCCCACATCCCTACTGGGGTTTTGAAGCTATGGGAGAAAAAGAAACACTAAGAATAACTTTACAGCCCTGTCCTTGACAATTCTTTTTTTCCCACATCCCAACAGGTAACAAATATATCACTGCAAACTCACGCCTAGATGCAAACTAGTTGTAGCCTGTCCCCAAATGCAGGATGGAGCTCACTTCCATTTTTCATTTCCTCCTGAGGTGACACCATGCTAGCCACCACCTCAAACGAGTTTTTCATGCCATGGCTGTATTTACTGTTATGTTTTATAGTGCTGGATGACTTGGATTTCTATTTTTTGTGTGTGTGTGTGTTTGTGCTGTACCACCTTCTTCTCATTAAGGTAAAAACTTCACTATTTTTCATTTTGACTATGACCAAGTTTGTTTAGTCATGTCCAGTTTAAAATAATGTTGTTTGGCAC